TGAGAATAACTAGGCAGACTGATCAGTTCTGAGGTTTTTTTTTTTTTTTTTGTCTGGTAGATCAATTGTGAGGTTAGTTTAGTCCACCTTGAAAGTTGCAACCTTTGTCAAAAACATTTCATTTTTCAAGACTCACTATCATAACAGTAGTCGTTCTGCTCCATGTCAGAAACAGTACATATTTAAAATTATTTGACTATACACTTTCTAAACTCTGGGACAAGCAGAACAGCTAATGCAAAGCCTGCAGATTAACTCGATAAAGTTGACAAGTTCATTTCAAGGGTACATTAAAAAATAAAAGGACATTTAGAAAATAACCATCCAGGAAAGTTTGTTAACTGGTATTGAAACTTACAATAGAACGTTCCGGCAGAATGCATGGAGAAACCTCACAGAAACTTGTTTCTAAGTAATGATCAGTTCCCCTAATTGTAATTTCAAGAGGGGCATAAACAGGAAGACCAGTGTCAACATCAACAGTTTGAAGCCAGCGAGCCTCTGTTGCCAGAACGTATAAATGCCTAAATGCCTGGAAAAACATTTCCTTAGAAAATTAGAAAGTAAAACAGCAATAACCCCCCTTCCTTTAAAAAAAGAGGAAAAAGAATATTGACGTAGAGAGCAAATAACATGTAGTTGGAAGCTACTTTTTCCCTCATTACTAGATTTCACATTTGCATGTCATTTTTTTTTAATCAATTAATCAGTTAGACATTTACATTTGTAAGGATTTAATTCTGAGCAATGCTTAAACACTTGTAACATTCCAAACTCCAAACTGATAAATGCTCATGCCAAATTACGTAATATATTCTCAATAAACCCATTTATAAGGTAACTGCTATCTATATTGCAGATTTTTTATGAATAAGTCAGCTAAGTGTACCTGTAGGTGGCAACGATTGTCATTTGGTCCAGTAGGCAGGCGTGGATAAAGAGTAATGAGCAAAGCAGCAACTGAACTGTTGCTTGTTGAAAATGTCCTCATTCCACCACCAAGAAACAAGAATCCAATTGCCAAGCTAACCTGAAAATTAGCACAAAACTACAAGCTATGAACATCTCAAAACAAATAGCTAACCATCCAACCTATTATCAACTTAATTCATACACCTTCTAGATATTCCACACATAACATCAAACCTTCTATGGTGCCATAGGTTAGTAAGGTTATTAAAGCAATTCATTTAATTACTTATAAACCAACCATCAACTACAATAAACTCAACAAAGATTAAAGCATTTGTCAATGGCATAGCATGTGATCTAATTGGACGTAATAATTATTAACAGGTGTTATCCACCTATCCCACATGGATTAAGTTTGGGGTTTCTTGTGGTCTTATGATCAAGTTGAGCCTCTCCACCAACTGCCAATTGGTTTTATGAAAGCCCAGATTTGTTGTCTCCCCGTTTGTCATTTGGCTTGTCCATTTGTTAGGCTCATGACACACTTCTTGTCTTGTTCTTCTAGGACTACACATGAAGGAGGGTGTTAGGCAGTCCATCCCACACCAAGTTTAGGGGTTCCTGTGGTCTTATACAGGCTTAGTTTGACAACACTGATCTGTAGCTGCAGTTGTAGGTTTTTTGGTCCTTTAACCCCTGAAAATATATAAAATATATTTTATATGTTTAATATTTATTTTAATTAATATTTTATATATTTTTAAAATAGTAAAAAGACATAAAAACCAAAAGGTAAAGCACCGAGAAGTGTTGTCAAATGAAGCCATAGTTATATTTATGTTGGGCCTCTCCACCTATCATCGATTGGTTTTGGGTTGGATGCTTTAACAATAAAGAAGTCAAATCCTCCAAGTTGGTTAACTGCAGCAGCCAAGGTTCTCCTAGATAAAATAACTTCCAACATTCTTGATCACATATAATCCAAGTTTATCACATGCATGAGAGACACTATAAACACAAAAGAAGCCTAAAGGATTTACTATGTCCAATACTGATAGCATCAATATTGCATGTTTTAGAAACCTTACCGCCATCTGAATACCATAACTAGCATGTCCATCTGCTGAGTTTCTGCTGCGAAGAAATCTTAACAATCGAAAGGTTTGTAAATGTCCAGAACCAGCCATAACCTGCACTTACAGAAAGCCCCAGCAATATTTATTTGAAAACAATTGAAAAGGAAACAAAAATTTAAAAAAAAAAAACAACTAAGTGTTCTAGACTGGAAAAATAGGCTGAAAAACAAAAACTCATGGCGAATGTGTATTTCTTTAATGTGAGTCATATATATCATGAGGGTTTAGAAAATCAGTTCGGAGACTGTTTCTTAAATCATTTCTTAATAACTTTCGAAACTATTAGATGGGAATGAACTCTTCTAAATAGATAAATAAGGGTTCTTTATCAGATGATCCAAATTTTGCACTTTGAATGTGAAACTGCTAACTCATCTGCTGTGAACTAATATAGATAATGTCTAAGAACTAACGTGAATCATGGAGTGTCAACTTTTTCTCAATCGAAGCTGTCGTGTGTGGGATATATTACTTCGTATGGTTGCTTTGGCTTGGAAAAAAAAGCGATGTTTCACCCATCAAACTACTACCCCCACACCCAGAAGTACACAAAGTAACGTGTCCATCAAAGGGAACACCTTCCTTGGTCTCTACTTTTCGCAAACATAAAGCGACTAATTATATTCATTCAGACCCTTAATTTTTCTTAAATTCGAGTTTAGTTCTGTTGCCCTAAAACTACTCTCTGCATCAATCACCGATCCATCTTAATTTTTGCATCAAATTACTGCTCTCTGCACGGTTGTTGGGGACAAGGAAAGATTGCTGTTGCTTTCTTGTTTAGGTTTTTCTGATGAAATCATCTTAAATTAAATAGGTAAATAAGTCATACCAACTTGGAACATGGACGTGTGAAAGGATGATTAGGTGAGTTTTTTTTCCAAGAGTTCGACCCTTGTTGATTGTCATTAATGAATAACCCTTTCTATTGGGTTGCTGTAGCCATCGACGCAACAATAATTTTGAAATTTTCTACATCATTTGTACTATTTTGAGTATTTTCTATTTAATATGGTACTATTGACTTGTTTTTTAATATATGTAAGTAGATCTCAAGTGAGATTAAATCAAATTGAGTTTAGTTGAATTAAAATGAGTTTTAAGTTCCACTCAATATCATCTTAACTAAATTTGTTAAGTTTAGATTTGAACTTAAACTTGATTTTTACTCCATTTCAAATCTAATAACACACAAGTCAAAAAAAAATATAAAAATAAATGTATTATTTTTGTTTAAAAATGTTAATTTTTAATTTTTTTATTTAATAATATTAACTTTTAACTTTTTTTTTTAATTTAAAATTATCAACTTTTAATATTTTGATTAAAAAGTCTATTTCTTATATTAGTATTATTATCTAATTAATTTTTAAATTAAAAAAATAAAAAGTGACCTCATTAAATAAAAAAATTAAAAATTAACATTCTTAAATAAAAAAATTAAAAATTAATACACTTATCTAAAAACTAACAAAATTAATCTTCATAAATAAAAAAAATTATAAAATTAACAACCATTTTTTTTGTATCTGGAGTTTAATTCATTTACACAGCTCGATCAAGGAGGCAACATGTGAATCCAACACATTCTCTTGATTTATGTTATCAAGCCAAGATGACATCGGCCCCCACAAAACTACCATATGCCTCGCTTCCGAAGCTTCTAAATTGAACAATGGGGTCAGCAAGCCAGATTGTATGGAATTGTAACACTACCATCACAAACATGGAGTCCCAATCTCAGGTAGATTCAGATTAAGACCTACTTGGCAAAAGCTTTGAAATCACTCCTTCCCTTTTCTTTCCCTTTCTCTTGTTTGGATCGGAACCAGAAGGGAAAGAAGAAGAAAGCAGTTAGCCATGGATTCCACAAACAAAATAAAATAAAAATAAAAATAAACTTGAGAAAGACAACTCTCCCTCCACCAGAAGCGCAAAGAAAGCCTCGTCTCACCAAATCACAATTAAACAAAGAATAATACATTTTCTCATTTCCTTTCCCTTCATCTCCCTTCGTTGGTTAAGTTAGTTCCGTTCTACTTTCTTTGATTCTCCTATATTTTCCTTCCTCTGTTCCCTTCTTTTTACTCACTGCATTCTCTTCTTCCTTTCTTCCTTTCTTTCTTTCTTTCTTTCTTTCTTCTTCTTCTTCATGCAGCCTCTTCGCCGGAAGGGTTCTCTGCTTTCCACCACAACACTCGCCATGAAGCACCGCAAGAACAATAATCTTTCTATATTTGTCGTGGTTTTCTCTGTTTTTCTGTTTGGGGTTTTCATGTACAACGAGGATGTGAAGTCGATTGCGGAGTTTCCGTTTTCCCGGCCTAAAGATATACCGGAGGAATCCAGACAGGGTGACCCAGTTCAAGAAATAGTGATTAAGAACGAGAAGGAAAACCACACTCCGGTTAACTCGAGAACTTCGCTGGCAGAAAGGAAACCGGAGAATAACATTCCCGATCAAATTACCCAGAAAACCGACGATTCGAATTCCTCTGTTTTAAAGGAAGAGGGACAGGAGTCTGTGGAGAAAGAAGAGGAGCCAAAGAATGAATTACCGGTGGTGGAAGAAGACGACGGTGATGTCGAATTGCCGCCGGAGGGCTGTGATCTCTTTACAGGGCAGTGGGTTTACGATAACGAGTCGTATCCTCTGTACAAAGAAGATGAATGTGAGTTTCTAACGGCGCAGGTGACTTGCATGAGGAATGGAAGGAAGGATTCTCGATACCAGAATTGGAGATGGCAACCCAGAGACTGTAATTTGCCCAAGTAAGAAAATTTGGAGGTCTTGACACTGAAATTTTCTCTGTTTTTTCCCAGATTTTTATTTGGTTTTCTCTGTGAAGGTTCAAAGCAAGATTGTTGCTTGACAAGCTCAGGAATAAGAGGCTGATGTTTGTTGGGGACTCACTGAACAGGAATCAGTGGGAATCAATGGTTTGTTTGGTTCAATCTGTGATTCCTCCAGGCAGGAAAAGCTTGAACAAAACAGGTTCTCTCTCTGTTTTCAGAATTGAGGTACGTCCCTTCGTCTCTGGGTAATCCTGATTTTGAAAGTGGACCTAATTCTGATTCTTTGCTTTGTTTAGGATTACAATGCAACAGTGGAATTCTACTGGGCCCCTTTTCTGGTGCGGTCAAATTCCGACGATCCAAATATGCACAGCATCCTGAATCGTATAATCATGCCGGAATCAATCAAGGAGCATGGAAAGAACTGGAAAGGAGTCGACTATTTGATCTTCAACACCTACATATGGTGGATGAACACTTTTGCTATGAAAGTCCTGTAAGCAACCCAACACAATAATCTCCATTTTGAATCCATTTTGTGCAAGTTCATTTGTTTTTTTGAGGGTTCTAATGAGTGTTGATGAAACAGACGAGGGTCGTTTGATAAAGGGGACACAGAATATGCTGAGATCGAGCGGCCGATAGCATATGGAAGAGTATTGAAGACATGGTCAAAATGGGTTGATAAGAATGTGGATCCCAACCGAACGATGGTCTTCTTCAGCAGCACGTCTCCACTCCATATCAAGTAATTTTTCTTTATCCCCTTCTGAGTTTTCATGGAGTTGTTATCATTAGCACACCATCAGTTTGTTTGTCTGTCTGAATGAAAGCCATCAATGTTTTTTTTCTTTCTGATTTGAATCATTGCTCGTCCTTGCCAAAGGATCACCTTCTCTATCTTCATCTAATTGTCGAGTAGCTGCTATAATTGTTGGAATAAATATCAAATTGGTACGGCCTGGTTGGTTGACGGTGGGTTGATCTCCCAAAATCATATAATTGGACCAAATTATTCTCCTAACTTCGGTTGGTAAACCGCCATGATTTTTTCCGTTGCTAAGAATTTGTCTCCCGTATACTATTATGCGCTGTGTGTTTGAATTTATGCCTCTTTTGATGCATTTCAATTCAAAGATGACATAGTTTAAGCTTTTGACCCAAATTTTGTGTATAGGAGCTTGGACTGGGAAAACCCAGACGGGATCAAGTGTGCTCTGGAGACAACTCCAATTCTCAACATGTCAATGCCATTGAATGTGGGTACTGACCGCAGGCTGTTTAGAATTGCAAGCAATGTGACTCAGTCCATGAAGGTCCCTGTTCACTTCATTGACATCACCACTCTCTCAGAGTACAGAAAAGATGCACATACCTCTGTCTACACCATCCGTCAAGGCAAGATGCTCACGCCTGAGCAACAGGCTGACCCAGCCAACTTTGCAGATTGCATCCATTGGTGCCTTCCTGGGCTACCTGACACGTGGAACGAGTTCATTTACACACGTATCATTTCTCGCACGTGACACCTACCAAATCACACGTGCAATTGGTTTTAATTTTTTCAAATTTTTGATTTTATTGCCTTTTTTAAAAGCTTCCGGGACCGCTCTATCACCTCAGTCATTGTTATCTTGTAAGATTCTGCAATTTTCTCAGCACTTGATGGCATTTTAACTTGTTATAGGATGAACTATATAGGGATGAACCATAAAAAGTTGACGGTTCTTCATTTGTTGTTTACTGGACTGAGGTGGGAGTTATAGGCAAAAATTAGATAACACCTCAACGAGTTGTATAACGTACATGTTGAAAGAGGAAATAAAAAAAGTCATACCAAATTGTATCAGCTCAATTGACCTTAATTACTTGTAATCCATTTCTGCCTGCTCTTGAAAATAAGCTGCTACTTACCTACCTCAATACAATAAAAACACTTGCCAGGCTAACACTAAAATTAATCAATCCAGGTTGAAAAACAGTTTTCCGACAAATGTATAGAAATTTTATAAAAAATAATTACACATTTACCTATAAAAAAGAAACAACAGCCGTCAAGGGAGTGTCTCAGTTAGTTCACGAACTAAAAAAATGCCCATACAAATAGATTTACCAGATTAAGTTGACGGAAAAAAAAAACATTTTTCTTAGTTTAGTGATGAAAAAAATACAAAAAATAATTTAGAGACCTAGAAAGTTCAAGATTAAAAGTTTAGTAACTAAAAATAGAATTTGACCTTTTCCAAAATGGTTCCTAATTAATTTCTTTTATTATTATTATTATTATTATTATTATTTATTTTTGAGAAAACGTGAATGTTCTAACTAATTCTAGACTTTGGTAGCATGCCATAACATAGTATTGCTCACGTGCTGATGCTGCATTTTTTTTAAGGGAATATATCGATGCAATTTTGACTCCACATTCTTCTCATTTCTTTATATATATTTATATATATATATATATTTTTTAAATTAAGTATTTGCCGACTTGGTATGCTGCCGTTGTGGATGCGGTTGTTGTCTCAATTAGGGGAAGATTTTGAGGGGCCAGCCAGCCAGGTTTTTGGATCTCTTACCCACACCAATTATTATGGACAAAAATGAGTCACCTTCTGATGGGACGCACCGACGGTGCTAAACCAAAAATTGGAAGCGTATTGGCTACATCATTCCTTCGGCAGAACCCCCAACAAAAATATATAAAAATAAATTATTTCTTTAAATTATTAATTAAAATAAATTATTTATTATTTAACATATAAAATCATTATTTATTAGAAATCATTTTGTTATCTAAGCATTTTTTAACAAAAAAAAATGATAATATAACATATTAA